CTAAACAACTTAGTTTATATTCCCTCTTCTCTTAAATCAAATGCTCCAAATCTATCTTAAAAAACAAACACAAATTTATAGTTTTTGATATAAAAAAACTCATGAAAAAATATTATAAATATCTCAAAAATATTTAAAATAGTATCTTATGATATAATAACTGATTATTAGATTTCATTATACCTTCAATATATTTAGAAATAATATCTTATAATAGCATTACAATAACATAAGTGGTTATCAAATATTTTCAAGATACAGATAATATCTTATAATATAATATATGAAACAATTATCTGTTTAATATATTTATATTTGTTTATATATGGATTCCAATAAATCTATAACCACACCATCCACTAGAAGGATTACACACCCATTACTGTCATTCACTATTATACATTGTATATATTCACAATATTTTATTGACTTAAGTGTCATGTGGATTTTTCCTTGTGTTTCTCTTCAAAATCAAGAGTTCTTTCACTAAAAGTCAATTCAGGAATTCCGTATTTTAGAAACTCTTTGATTTCGGTAAAAATAATTATTATCAAATTTGATTATCATCCAAAATAGATTTTAAATTGATTTCTATTTTAATATGTGAATTATTGAAAAACAAAAGTGATCATATTAAAGTTAATGATTATATATATTATATAGGTTTAATAGCCAATTTAGTCCTCACTTTGGTTGAAAAATCTCAATTTAGTCCCTCGTTATAAAAGTGTTTTGAATTAGTCCTAACTTTTAAAATAGTGGGTCAGATTGGTCCTTTCTGTTAAATATAAGTTAACAAAATTAATGGATGATGATGTGACACAACTTAAAGCTAACGAGGGACCAATCTAACACATCAGCTTTAAGCTGTGTCACATCATCATCCATTAATTTCGTTAACTTATATTTAACGAAAGGGACCAATCTGACCCACTATTTTAAAAGTTAGGACTAATGTAAAACACTTTTATAACGAGGGACTAAATTGAGATTTTTCAACCAAAGTGGGGACTAAATTGGCTATTAAACCTT